CTACTTAGTCGAGTTCATCTAAAGATATCAGGAGGATGTGATTTCTCCAGGTGTATTCCTACCCGATGTGACTGTAATGGACTGTTACTCAGTTCTCTAAAACACATTTTTAGAAATTAACAGAGTTAAATTTATCTTCTATAAAGACATTCCCTCACTCATAAAGCTCATATTCTAGCCACAGTTGTTAGTCTTTTTCTGTCTAGGGAAACCGTTTTAGGTTGACAGTTAATCCTACTCCTGCTGTCATACAGGCAGTAATTTAAGTTTAAGAAAAAGAATATAAACAAAAGTCAACACCTTACTGGCTTTTCTCAGTGAAATATGAGTCTGGCAAATTTAAAAATATATTCACACTTCTGTTTTTTGCGCACAAAATGGTTAAAAAAGTCATTGTAACTATGGAAACAAGTCCCATCAACACAACCTAACTCAGGAACCATGTGGCAGAAAAGCAACATCATTGGTCTGCACTCTTTATTCACGCAGAACTAGGAGGAGAGCTCCAACTAAATAATGCAGCATCTGTGTGGCTGCAGCATCACACACTCTGTACTTGGCATCCTTGGAGCTCAAATAAAGCAGTTTGTTCATTCGCAAAGGAAATCATTCATTTTCTTAATAAAATTGCATCTCTGCTGATATAAGCCTACAAGTAAGATTAAGCTGGTATTTACAAAGCTGGAAGTTAGTTTAAAGGCATACATCATACAACAAAGTATGAATTCATCAAGTAAAACAAAAACTTAGCAAAAAAGGAGAAGCATTTCAAAATAAAACTTGAGTCCTATTAGTCTGCTCCCTAATTTCTCAGTCAAAATTGTTCAGATAGATATTAAAACTAGCATGATAGCTCTCCTTTGCAAGGCACTGGATGAAATCTATACAAAGTTCTTCCTTTATATCACTCTGTGTATACCTAATGCATGCGGCTGGGGATCACGCAATCCAGGCAGCAGATGCTGCACTCACTGCTGCTTAGCTTTAAAATCAGGTCACACTTGATTGCCCAAAACAAGACAATGCGAAACAACCATAATAGCCACCTGGGGCATGCAATTAGTGCGGGGTATCAGCATCCTAATATGCTCAGAGGGCATAAATGTAATGAACCGTTACAGACATCCTGCCAGACTCCTCAGCCCTGCATACTCCCTTCAAGATAACCATCACCCCCTTTTTCTCAGTGGGGTCCTACCAAAGGGATATAGCCATCCCTTTGGTATATAGCCAATCAAACAGGCTCTTACATTTTTCTTGTTCTTTTGTCTCCTTTACAAGTGTACAAATCCCAAAGAYAGTTTGTGTTTATGGACCTCTTAATCTAGTGCTGGCATCTACTAAGAGCCAGCAGCAGTTCCTCTTGCTGTGAATGCAATCATTTCTCTCTGCCGGCATTCCTTTGCCTTTTTTCTCCCAAATAATAAATGTTATCAATATTGATCTATGTAACAAAGTATTCTGCAGGATCACATTTGCTTCAGTGATATCTTTGCAACCTCAGTGAGATCAGAATATTTATTMTTTAGAGATTTCTTTTTCCTTTGGGATGAATTTGCTTACTTATTCCCATATTATGAGCCAAAACATAGGAAACACTACGTACAATTTGACCAACATGGGTAACTCTACAAAGTCCACCTGATGCTGTTCAGTTTCCTCCATTTCTGACAGTGTATTTAACCAATGAACTACATGTTACACAACTGGCCTCTTCCTTCTTCCTTTGACATAAATTAAAAAAAAAAAAAAAAAAACCACAATCCTAACCTGCATGCATCAGGCAATAGCCTATAGACATTTTGCAGAGTTACTTAAAATCCGCCACAAGCTTTGTGCAAGTCTAAAAAAATACGTTAATGGTTCTGCCTTTAACCACATTATACGGATAGTCAAAGGCTTTCAGCACAAAGGAGGTATTATRGTTTCAGAAAAACATGCTGTTCTGTCCCATCATATCCAGTTCAGTCCTGTCTCAGAATTCTAATTTTAGTTACAACTTTGACCATTTTTCCAGAATTGAAATTATTTTCACTAATTCTTTGATCTTTTCATTAAAAGAAGCCAAACAGGTACACTCTGCTGCATGCTGTTGTTCAGCAGAATAGCTGATTTTAGCAAAACTCTCCTGAGCAGAAGTCCTATCGCTTCATGCTTAGCAAGACTGAGCTCTTGGGTGCACACCATCTGCTCCTACTGACCTGCTTGTTCTTGGATTATTTTCAGTTTATTCCAGCACTTCCTCTGCTGGCACACCCTCTTCCATTACCTCYCTGTTTTCTATTACCTAGCACGCTTCATCTAAACAACCTCTCAAATCATGCCACTAACTCTAGAACAACACAAGATCCTTGCTGGCTTGTGGTCTAGTAGAACATGCTCTTGCTTTTCCTACRGCAATTGCCATATTCAACAGCAGTTCCATGTGCACCCTCCTGATTTTTGTCTGGACAGCAAAACTCAGTGTTACGGTTGAGGATGGTGGAAGGCCATTTCCCTTAACACTTTCTTCCACAGCTACACATGCTCCAAGATAGCAGCATAGGTTCAAGATTTTGCCATGGCACTGAATGCCTGTTCCAGAAGACTTTTGATCTGTAAAGCCTATATATAAAAACCTTGGGAATTGTACACATCACACAAAATGGTACATAGTTGCCTCTTAGTCCAAAAAAAAAAAAAAAGGGAATGGCATTAAGTATCTCTGGCCTGAGCAGACTGACCTTAGTTGAAATACAAAACTCTTTTCTAATCCAAATCTCCACATTTTTGCCCTGACAAAACTAAGCATGACTCTTGCTTAACGGATCAGTAGGGACACCGCATGCTCAGCAGCATTGTGAAGCATGGGGACTTTSAAAGCATGGGCTTTTTTCCCCTTTTTTAAAGGAAACTTTCACTGTGTACTCCAAAGGAAACATGCATCTTAATGCAACCCAGTCGCCTCTGCTTTAAAATAGGTATTTCCTGTACTAGCAGAAAACAGATACCAGGCACCATTATGCCTTGTTCCCATCACTGTCAGAACAGGGCTTTTTGAACAGAAACTATTAGATTGCATTTTCAGAAAATGGCTAAATCTCCGACAATCAATGACAATCACTTCTTCCATCAGAATATCTGTATTTCCTTCATTTATATATATATACGTATATATAGGTTCACATATGTTGTTCACAAATAYTAGGTTATTTTTTCTTACGTTCCTGTAAATGCTAGGGCAAATACTTAAGAGGTAGTGGATTTGAGGACAGGAGCTCCAGTCACGGGCCAGAACTCCATGGTGAGTAACAGCATACAAACAAGAGGGGAAGGGCAGGAAGGAGGAAGAGAAACAACCCCAAACCCCCAAAGCCTTATTATCTGAGCGCTCTTAGAGCCAATTAGGGATTTGTTTCCAAGAAACATTCTCTGCACATCATAAATATACCTAGGGATACACTAAATAGTAAAAAGCAAAAAGATGAGCAAGAAAAGACAGTATTTCCAGGCTTGTGTTACATGCCTCAGTAAAAGCAAGTCCATGCAAACTTCTCCAAAATGACAACAAATTTCACTTACAAGATCTACATAAAAAAAATAAGATTTTTTTTTCTTTTCCCCATCAGTCTCTTTGGAAAGGCCTTAGTGCGTCCAAAAGTGGAAAGGCCTTACTATGTCCAAAGTGACAAAAATTTGCTAATTTGGCTTTAGTATGTTTCTTAAATATGTCTTCCTTTTTTTTTTTTTTTTTTTTTTTTTTTTTTTTTTTTTTTTTTTTTTTTTTTTTTTTTTTTTTTTTGCCATTAGTTTTTTTCTTCTCGGCAAACATCTACTTTTGGTTCTCAATCTCTACTTTCATCACTGAATTCACCATAAGACTAAGATCCCCGTCTAACTCTAAAAAAAAGCAGTACTACAGTGCCTGATAATGGTTGTTTTTTTTTGTTTTTGTTTTTGTTTTTTTTTGAACATCAGGTAAATAGTGCAAGTACTGAGGGGAAAAATACGTTTGCTCAAGTAAGAAATCATTACTATTCTAGTTCAGTCACTTCTGCAATATAAATTAATACAATATACAGTCAGTAAGCAATGGTCTAGCAGTTTGCAGAACAGAGGATGTCAGCACCCCTCTGACCACAGCCAGGAATGAGCTATATCTTAGCTCAATTCTAATGTGGTTTTTTTTTTTTTTTTTTTCTTGATGAAGGACTCTGAAGAATAAAAATCTTTTTGGGTTATTAAAAAAAAAAAAAAAGGGAAAGCCAACATTATGTAGACTTAGTTTAGCTTTTTTCAGCTGCAGTATATTCATCAACTAATCCACATACTAATCCACAGGTGGAAAAGACCAAGTCCAGCTCTTCCTGTTGCCAGGAGCTGCATCCCACAAACAGGCCCCTTGTCAACCCTCATGGGGTCTTTGCCCTCCTAACTCCTCCTGCCCATCTCTCCTAGTCCAAAAACCTCTTTTTCTACCAAAGCATATTTGCTTTTAAGTACAAGCATACAAAGAGTACAACATCATTTTACTTATAGATTGCTTTTCTGCCAAAAGACTTAAAGCAGATACGAAGACACACAAATAACATTCAGGAGAAGGGAAATCCCCTTCTGAGATCCAGGAGCAGAACTGTCTTTAGGGCATTCGGAGGTGCATCTGGGACGTGTCATGCAGGCAGCGACACATATGTGAGTGTGTATGTATATGTGTGTGTATATATATATATATATATAAAATGCATGCATAACACCCCACAGGGCTGCCCGTAAACTTGGTTTGAGACTCAATGTAAAGCCGCAAATAAGCATCAGTCCCGCACCCGTAGACCCAAGCGCCAGGAACAAACACGAAGGGGGAAACACCAGCAGCTCGTCCGCAAGGAACCGCGACCGCGAGCAGGACGCAGCCCCCGAGAACCGAACCGAAGCAGGCGGCGCTCGCTCAGGCGGCTGCGGGAAGCGCCGGCGACCCCCGCACCGGGTCCCCCCGTGGACGGCGCCGCGGGCCGCGCACCCACCTGGAGCAGCGTGTCCGGGGGCAGCTGCGAGGCCCGGAGCAGCTCGGCCACGCTGCCGGCGGCCGCCTCGGGCGCAGCGGCGGCGGCGGCGCCGGGCGGGCAGCAGCGCGCGAAGAGCTCCGCGTAGCGCCGCTGCTCGCCCTCGCTGAGCGCCAGCAGGAGCGAGCCCGGCACCGAACCAGAGCCCGGCACCGAGCCCGGCTCCATGCGGCGGCGGCGGCCGCGGTGCCCGCGGCGTTGGGGGCGGCGCGGGGGGCGGCGCTGCGGCCGGGAAGGTGCCGGCCCCGCCGCCCGCCCGCCCCGCTGCGGCCGCCGCCGCGGCGGCTCCGCAGCGCCCCGGCCCCACCGCCGCCTCCCGCCGCAGGGAGCGCCCGCCCCGCTGCGCAGGCACCGGCACCGACAGCGCGGGGATCCGCGAGCCCGGGCGCTGGAGAAGGGAGATGTTCTGCAGTGAGACACATGGGTCAGCACKGATGGTTTAGCAAAAGAAGGGAAAAAAATCACATTTTCTTTTTCTTTGTCATTTATGACAAAGAACACTTTGTTTCCAGGGGTGAAATTCTTCCTTGCTGCTCCTTTGTATGTCTTAGCATACTTAGTGTTTTAATGTTCAAGGTACTATGTACAAGGTCAACTGTAAGTGTTCCCAGCTATAGGTCAAGCAGTTCCTGCCTAGTCAGGAAGGCCAGGGCCCCCGGTTGGAATGCTGGGTAAGTCACCGAGTCATTATGGTTGGAGAAGACCTTCCAGATCATCAAGTCCAGACGTTAACTTGTCATCACCAGGCCTGCTAAAACATGTCCCTAAGTGCCTCCTCTACACGTTTCTTGAACCCTGCCAGCAATGGTGACTCCACTGCTTCCCTGGGCAGCCTGTTCCAATGCTTGACCACTCTTACTGTGTAGAAAGTGTTCCTTACACCTAACCTGAACCTCCCCGGTGCAACTTGAGGACATTTCCTCTTGTCCTATTTTTGATAGTTATTCTAGAGAAGAGATTGACCCCTACCTCACTACAGCCTCCTTTGAGATAGTTGTAGAGAGCAATAAGGTCTCACCTGTGCCTGCTCTTCTCCAGGCTAAATAACCCCAGCTCCCTCAGACGCTTCTCTTACAGTTTGTGCACCAGCCCCTTCACCAGCTTCATGCTCTCCCTGTAGCAGGAGGCCCAAAACTGAACACAGTAGTCAAGGTCCCAGCAAAGAGGATTCTCCTTGTTATTCAGAGTGTTGTCCCACCAGGTCTTTGGAGCATTTCTAGGAATGAGCTAATAACCTCGAGATTTCAGGGAAGCTTTCAGGGAAGCTGGGGCATATCTAGGAATGAGCTAATAACCTGAAGCTTTCAGGGAAGCTTCCGAATGCAGGGAATCTGCATTCAGAAATGCAGATTAGTCGCAGAAAAAGAAAATGATTAATGATTCTGTTTGCAGCAGTTCTGGGACTGAGATAAGGCCTKACCCAAGAGAAATCAGATTACCTGCTATTCACTTGAAATAGTGTTAGCAATGTGTGGCTAAGGTTCCTAAAATGCAGACCAGCTAAGAAATAAATATGCTTAATTTATATACATTTAATTATTATTCATTCCAGCAAAGTTTAAAAAGCAAATGTAATAATTTTACATGGTATTTTTATTGGAAAATATTAGGATTAAAAGCCACCTGKTTTTTTTGCCTCTTTACGTCTGAAGTCCTAAGTCCTACACTAAGTCCTACACTGATCGGAGAAAGTGGTATCAGAAACGTTAAGATGCCTGAATTTAGTGTTAAACATTAAGATGTCGTTAAGTGTACTGAAGWTAGTGCTTTATCTGCTTGTTGGCATCTGTAATTATACCATCATGAAGATGGTATCTTCATCACTTAAGACTGTGAAAGAGCAACTTTCTCACAGCTCAACTTGAAGAAGGACATTATGCTCGATGAGTAAAAGACTATATTGATGATACTTTGTGCATTTTCAGTGGGTCATCTGCTGGTACAACTCAGCAAGACACCTCCCTTGAACTTAATAGCAACAGCAGCGAGCTGCCTAAGCGCTCCATGAGCTGGGTCAGAGGAACTCTAAAGCTAGTGGAAGGAAAAGGGGACCACGAAACGAGAAATAGAATGAAGAGAACAGGTCTCCCAGCTGGCAGCGGTGAGCTCCGCAATTGCCTCAAGGACCTAAACTGGATTAAAATGTGACTTATCAAAGTGTATTTTAGATTGATGTGTGGCCCTCCCTTGCTCCTTCCTCTTGCAAATAATCACACTGCAATCACTTTTTCTAAAAGCATCCAGCAGCACTCGTACAAAAATTGTGGGAGGTAAATGGAAGTGTTATTATTAATTATTTAAATAATTTATAATATAAAATACTTCCAAGGAGTTACTACTGGGAACAATAGTAATATGTATGATACACATATATGTTTGTTTCTTCTGAGTGAAGTAATCAGTATAAATCATATATTATATGATATATATATGATATTATATGATATTATATGATATATATATAATCATATATATATGTTATGTTATATTATGTATTATGTATTATGTATTATGTATTATATATTATATATTATATATTATATATTATATATTATATATTATATATTATATATTAATATATATAATAATAACAATATAATATATATTATATATATAATCATATATTTATGTAACATATATATATATGATTATATATATCATATAAATCAGTATAAATCATAATGTGGAATATTACATATGCATAATATGTAGTTACCAGTCTGACAGCTACTTCCTATTGGCAATAAAAACATCCTGCCTATCCCTCAATGAAATTTCAGAATAAAAGGGAAAGGTTTGGCTGAAAAAATGTAATTTAGATTTCCCTGACTTAGTTTGAGTGAATCTCACCAGTAAATAAACTTTTTTTTTTTTACTTTCTTTGCAGAATGAAAAAAGTATTTGATGACAAGTAACTGGCTGGGCAAGTTTCAAGCCCATTTCATCAAGCATGCTTGGAATGTACTTGACAATCTCATAGTTTCATATATATCTTTAGCAGGTAAATACTCCTGCTGAGAGTTACAGATGCTTTATTATTCTTTGCATTGCTGCATTCATTAAGATGTTCCATCTCAAAGGAAAAGAGGAGAAAGGTTTAGTGAACTGTAAAATTTGGTTTGCAGTTTTCTGACTTTTCAATATCTCTAATTTATGAAAAAGAGCTAACGAATAGTAGCTATTTCCTAGTTCTGACCTCTTTTTCAAAAATTAGATGGCATAATGGAGGAGGAGAAGTGCCTTCTCTCAGCAGATTGTAGAAGAATGTTCATGTCATTTTTCCCTGTAAGCAATGGAATACATAAGAGAGAAGAACAATTGGAATCATGTAAAATATTTGACAAATTTCCACATATTTATTTGTATAGATGTGTTTGAGCAAAATAGGATATTCTCTATTTTTACAAAGATTTATACATGTAATGTGAGCTTCTGTAGACTTCCTAGAGCACAAGGCTAAACCCAGGCACACTTTTTCATAAGAACAAAGCCAGAAACAGGATACTGCTTTTTAGGCATCTTTCTAGGAATATACAGCCTCATTTCCATTAAATTGCTTCAAAGCCTCCAATAGTTTATTTCTTTTAAAATTTTGGCATCCCATGAAATTATAATAAAAGTATATTTTAGATGCCTAAGTGCCCTTTTTATATTTTATTTTATTTTATTTTATTTTATTTTATTTTATTTTATTTTATTTTATTTTACTTTTAGCTTTGGTTTTAAAAGATTATCCCCCTGCCACAGATGGAAGAAGTGCCTCAACAGACCAGGCATTAGAAAAGGTGTATACTCTATTATTTGTGCTTTTATTTAGGAATTTGCCAAAGCAATCTGTAATGATCCCAACACCCAGATCCAAATAGAGTTCCCCAAAGCTTATCAAGTCAAAGGTCAATGTTTTCTGAAGTTCATGTCATCAGCGCAGTTGAAGTCCTGAGCCAAGACATGCTGCCAAAGAAAGATCTGTATGATCCTGGAAGACACGAACAAAAAGTATTCAAATGGAAGCTTAGATGATCTCCCTCAGACATGAGTTAAAAGATGAATCTTGCTGTATATCCCAAGGATTACCAAACTGTTCCCATGGATAAGGAGGGAAAYGCAGCTCAGGTAGAAGGGCACTATTACAAGAGCACACACTATAATTAAAGAAAATGTCTTGGTGCTTGGTGAGGTGCCTRCTGTACCATCACCTGTTTCTTGTAACAAACACTCTTCATTGTAAAATAATCACATGAAAGGATAGAGACTTAAATCATTACAATCAAGCTATTAATGCAAAAATGTATTTTTCACTTAAAGAAATAACAATTAAAACAAAAATCACTGCATTCTTCACTCTTCTCTGTATTACCTATCATTTTTTTTCCTTAGGAATTGAAATAAAGTGTTCAAGTTTGAGATAAGTTCTTGACCAAAACGTTTACACAAATAGGTAATAACTTTAGTGGCTTTGCTTGATAATTTAAAATTCACTTTTTCTGAGCATAACCAATTATATTTCCATAAGAGGTGTTGTGAATCAGGCTGCTCTGATGGATCTTTCTTACATTTTAAAATAACATGGGTATTTTGAATTATGCTACTGCCCTCATAATTCACAGGCAATTTTCGCTTAACTGAGTTTCCTCTAAGGAAAATACTAAGCCCTTATGTCATTTTGGTAGTTGCAGTTTTTTTAACATAGCAAGTACTGCCCTTTGTTTCCTGATCAATTCTGAACTCAGTGTAAAATGTAAACAAATGAGTCAGCTGCAATATGCTACAGCTTCTACTGTAGTGGCAATAACTACTGGGAGGGGAAATGCAGCAACAATGATTTATTTTAACTATTGGACTTTCTCAGACCAGCTACAACTACAGCAGTATCATTGCCATTGCAGTAAATGTCATTGCAGGCTTTTTCTGCAGAAACATACACCATATCATAAAGCTTGCATGCCAGGCAAATTAGTAGGTCATTTTAAGCAGGAGTGTACTTTTGCTCCATTGCTTGCTATGCAAAAGCTGCTATAAGTAAAGCCTGGCCTACAACGTCACATCTCACAGCCTACGAAGGAGAAACATGCAGTTGGCTCATGTTCTATGGCAGCCAGAATCATATCTTCTCTGTTTGCAGCTGTGGGCCGTGGTCTATCTGCCATTTCATAGCTTTATATTCAATA